CATTAGCTGGGGGGGCCTAGCCATGTAGGCTGTATGGGGCCCTATGATTTCTAATGGTGGCCCTGAATGCAACAGAAAAAAAAGCCACACAAAATGTATTCAAGTGAACTTTATTGCACATTTATATTTTAATTGTTGATTTTTTAAACTGAGTTTTCTTTAAGCCTGCATAATATTTTACTTTCTTATTTAATAAAATCTGTTCGACCAGGTAACCATCATGTCATGGAGAGGACAAACCTGCATTACAGTACATCACAACACACTGTAACACAGTACCATGTGTTGTGGTGTGCTGTGTTACAAAAATAGTGCATGCACTTTTTTTGAAACATTAGGAAGCCCTTTCAAATAAACGGGCTGTTTTAATACAATGCACATTGATGCATGTTAATGCACCACAACAGTGGAAATCCAGCGTTAGAGAGAAGGAAGTGACTTTAATTTAAAGCAAAAGACGCTACAGTTTTAAAAAAGAAAAAAAATAACTACGACATGCACACACACTCTGTAAGTTAATAAAAATAACCTTTGCATTTGAGTCTGCAGTCTGCTTTTTAAACAAAATGATTTCTTCTCTTTGCATCTGCGGCAATCATATTCAGTTTATAAGCATTTTTTTTCAAAATCGTATTCCATTTCTCTTGTACAAAGTTTGAGGTCAATTTCTATGCAGTTTGTTGAATAGAACATCAGTCTACTGAGGATTTCATCATTGGTATGATGGAGTACAGTGTTACTTATTGCACTACTGACAATGGTCATGGAAATAAAGTCAGACACCTCACTTGGAACTTATCTTGAGAGTTAAAAAAAAATGCACTGGCATGGCCTTTCTCAATACTGAAAATGAAACTGGGCAAAATAAAAATACATATTGGATGCAGTCTGTCACTTTTCTCTCCCGTTCATTGAAGGACACAGGGAACAGATCGGAGATCATGTACTGTAGGGTAATATCGCCACCTGCAGGAGAAGGACGCTAGGCACAAAAAAACTAAAGACCAATTACAGCCTAGGGGCGGCCCCTGCCGGTGGCCAAACCCCCCACCTACTGAGAAGTCTCCAGTTTTTTGCCTAGCGTCAGGAGTAAGGAGCTAAGAATTTTCCTCGGTATTCTTACCTGCTTCTTCCTGATTTTTTTCAGAGGATTCTTCTTGCAAGTGTTGTCCGGGTGACAGGCTGGATGTCTTGGATCCTTGGAGTCTCCCCTGGATAACCAGCGAGCGTATGCAGACCCGCTACGGTGGGTCGGCTACGACGGCCCCGCTCCGGCGGGGTGGCCTGTGGGTTCGTCCCAGGGGGGTGCATATGACTGGGGGTCTCGGCCGTCCAGTCACAGCACTTCCCTCAGGCTGCTGGCGCCGCGACTGCGGTCGGGGG